GCCTGCAGTGGGGAGGGGGCGCCATGCAGGAGAGGCCACCCGGGTTTCTGTGAAGACTGCAGCTGTAAAAGCGGTCTGTTCAGACCCCACCGCCGGCCTCGCCCCGCGGGAGCCTCCCCACCTATGCTGTTTGAAGCCGGAGGAACCTTGCACACCTGTGGGTTGAGGCGGAGGGCAGGGGGTGTGAGCAACGTCTGGGCCGCTGGGCGGTAGGGACGACAAAGACAGGTGCCTGGACTCTGCCTTCTGCCCCCAACCCCATCTGGAGGCCGCAACCAGGACAAAGCTTTTTCTGAGTCCCTGGAAAATGAGGTTCAATTTAAGAAAGCCCTAAGGATAGAGATGCCTTGTGACGCGGCCCCAAACACGATAAGTGGTTGGGGGACAGGAGCGTAGCTCAAAGGCAGAGCCTGTAGCAAGCCCCTCATCCCATCCCCAGCAGTGCAGCAGATTGAGGCGCGGGTAAGGGGGAGTTGAGCGCTTTTTTACTCACAATAATAACTTTTCTGATTTTATTCCTTATCTGTTCTTTCAGGGCGAAGCCCTCGCCTAGACATGGATCCATTGTAGCACTGAGTGTGCTCAGTACATACGGAGGCTTTCTGATTAGCTGTGTCCATTTAACTCTACGAAGGCTGAGATAAGTAGCTTTTATGAAACCGGTCCTTTGACACCATCACCTCCAGGCATTGTCATTTTCCTGTGCATTTCCAAGCTCCAAAGATTTCACCTAACTATGCACCAACAGTGCATGAGACCTGTACACCAACTAAAGATTAACAAATGCCATTCGCTTGCTGAATAATAATCTATGACACAAGGAAAGTTACATTGTAAAATATATTTTTTAAAATCACACAGTAAGAATCCTTAAAGCACTTTATGAGTTTGTGTCTTAGAAAACAGTAAGCATAAGAAAAATGAAAGCCATAGATAAATGCAGTCAATGCACAATAATTACTGGTTGAGACTATGGTGGATGAATTATTTCTCTGGCATCACCTTTCACAATTGTCTTGGGCCAAAATACTATGTTTACCTTAGTTCCTTTTCTTCACTAGAAAAATATTTGACTTCTCAGGAGAAAAATATTTCAATTCCACAGGAGCCAGGCGTGGTGGCACACACCTTTACTCCCAGCACTCAGGAGGCTGAGGCAGGAGGATCGCTGTGAGTTTGACACCAGCCTGGGCTACATAGTGAGTTCCAGGTCAGTCTCAACTACATAGGGAGACCCTGTCTCCAAAAAAAAAAAAAAAAGTCCACAGGCACAGCTGAATTACATTAGCTGAAAATGAATTGCCATTGCTGGGACTGTGACTTATTTATCTATAAGCTCAAAAATACAGGTGGCTCCCAATTTAAGATGGTCTGAATTTCAATTGCTCAACATAGTAGAAACTGTACTTTGAATTTGAAGCTTTTCCCAAGTATGTGTCTCTCAGGATGCTGGACAAAAAGCCACAGCTCTACATCAGCTCATTAGTCACAAGAGCAGCTGACTCTCATCAGTGCAGCTGTAACAGCTGCTAAGCTTGAATGTTTCGAAGGTAAGGTGTATTAAATGCCTTGTCAATATTTCCTTTTATTATTTTTTTGGTGGTGGTACTGAGGATTGAACCCAAGGCCTACCAGAATGCTAAACGCGTACTCTACCACTGAGCTACACCTCCAGCCCTGATTTAGGCTGTTTTCACCTTCTGATGGGCTTCTCCGAAGGTAAGTAAACCCTATCTGTCTCACTTGAACTACAAATATTTAAAATGTTCTATTGAAGTCATGAAAAGGTTTCTGAACAAATGCAAAAGAAAGTAAATAATTAAGAATGGAACTCTGTGCTAATTCTGGAAAAGCAATAGCAGTTAAGGAAGTGACCCCCTGTAGTTTAATCATTTGCTTTTAGAAACTCACAAATCGCTTACAGAGGGAGCAGGGTAAGGAAGTTAGGCCCGCCTACCCGAGTATTCTGCCAATGAGGAAAGGAGGAGGGGATTTTGTATAAGGAGAGGAGGAGTTAAATTGCTCACTGAAATTCCTCTGGTGGTGTCAGTCTGTTGGGTTGGCACCCCATTCTTGCAAGAATGAGGAATTGTCCCTAAAAGTCCATTCTTTGGGTGTAGACAAGTGAATGCATTTCTCACACACATCACTGAATTCTGACATATATTCTCACTAAAATTCCTATGAGCAAGACTAAAAGGACCCCGAGGAACAGGAGCCCTCGCCGGAGCACCAGCTGTCTTCCAGACAATTTGCCATTGTCTCTCGTGTGGGTGGGCAAAGGTTGTTCTTGGTGTATCTGTTGTTCTGACAGAGTCTCCTCTTTTTTTTCAGTATCTCTCATTAAAATCTCTCCATGGTTTTCAGGACTCACTGTGGGTGGGGGAAGGAACTTAGTTAGCAGCTTGAAAGAAATTTCTTTTCATCTGTATAAAAGATTATATATATATATATATGCACTGGTAGCTAGGAAAAAAACTGGGAAATAGTTGCTACAATGAATAAAAGAAATTTTGTTAAGAAAACTTTTAGAACTCAGACACTTATTTTGAGGGTGGAGCTGCTGCCTCTTTTAAATCACTGTTATTCCTTCAAAATTTTTGTTTGTTTCAGGTATTGTGTTCAAGAGAAAACCACAAGGAACCACTTTTTGCTCCTTATAATCCTAAACTCTCCACCCAGGACACATTTGCATCATTTTTTAACATGAGTGGCATGATCTCACACTGAGCATGCTCAGGAATGTGCCTACCTTAATGTGTCACTAGGAGTCTCTCCACGATGAATATGAATAAAATTTCTCTAATGAAAGACCCATCCATGTTTCCTTTCAGAGAGACACTGTTTTGGGAGTTATCCTAGGACGGTCTTTTGTCCCCTGGTTGTGCCTACTGGCTTAGCACTCACCAGGGAGGCAAACCCACTGTGTTCCATTACAATTATCTCAGGGTGCCTCCTCGCTCCTTCACAAACCACTATTTTCTGCCTGGGTATTCTGGGTGAAAGAGCACCATACAAACCCAGCTCGCTGAACTTAAAGAATGAAATCAAGGAAAGAAAGGAAGTAGTTAAAGAGGAAGTGTTTATTGGAAGAAACTCACTCCTGGTGGGTAGTTAGAAAGGGTCCTGAAAATGTGTTTGCTCAGTGGGCTCTTTGTCCAGAAACCTTTATGGAAGTTTAACTACCTGCATGGCTTGAATTAGCTCTTAATTCAATATAGGTGGAAGTGCTATTTTCTTTTTTATGCTGACAAGCCTGACTCCAGCTTGGGCCCTGTCCCTTCCAGCTGCCAATTCATGAGCTAAATAGTTAAACTGCTTCTCACAGGGAAAGTTTTCAAAGGGCCAATGCCCATGGAATAAGCATTTCAGAAGGAGCAAACACAGGGGGAAAGAAACTAAGACATAAATCAAGGTTATTCACAGAACTGAGCAAGGATGTGAGCCTTCAGATCCAAGAGCCTACTAAGTACCAAGTGGAACAAGGATTCACACCTACATTCAGTCTCATGATGCTTCAGAATAGGAATGTTATGGCTTGTGTCCAGATGCCCTCCCAAAGCCTCGCACTTTCATGGTGCGTTTCAAAGGTGGCTGTATCTAGAGTGTGTGATGCTGGGATGAAAGGTGTGTAATTACTAAATTAGTCCACTGATCAGCTTGGCATACCACTCATGACCAGTTAGCAATCTAGGGAGCCCAAAGGATTTACATTATAAAGAAGTGTTGGGGCTCAGAATATACTACCCAAAATGTGACAATAAGTAACAAGAACATGCTACCCCAAAGTAGACTTCTTTGATGTGTTTCAAGCTGGTCATTCTAATCAAATGCAGACAATATGGCTCTGAAATGCTGTCCTTTTATAAAACAAATGTACATCTATCAAGGAAGTCTACATTCGTAAAAGCACCAGTCTCAGGAAGAGGGCTGCTCTTGACAACTGTTATCACCAGGGGAACTTTTATCTATACAACAAGGCCACCTCTTTTGACAATCATTTCCTCCCCTCCTCTTCGCATAACTTCTGTAGTCACCACTGCCAGAAGCCCCACACTCTTTCCTTTCTGTAGTTCAGAGTGCTATATAAGTTTGAATTATCTGACCCTTCTTTGAGTTTCATATTTTGTGAGACTTCCCTGCCTCAAAATGTAATTCAATATGGTTTTCTCCTGTTAATTTCCTTGAGTTGACTTAATTTGTAGCCCAGCTACAGAACGTAGGAAGTTGGAAGGAAGCCATTTTTACCTCCTCTACAGGAGTAAAAGAGTCATATGACTAGCTGCCGGAGAAACTGAGAATGTAGAGGAATTACTAAATAGGGAAAAACATTTGTATAATGTTCATTAGAAGCAGTGGTTCAAAAAATAATCTACTTAAGGCAAGTGATGTGCAATGAGGGACCCTACTAAAACAAACAGGCAAATGTCAGTTTCTCAGATGTGGTCCATGCACAGAAACACCACATATTTAGAAATGCCTGCAGCCCAACACAAAACAAAATTATAAATGTATGAGGTGATGGATATGCCAGTTACCCTGATCTGAACTTGCACATTGTATACATGTATCAGGAGGTCACACTGTACCCCACAAACATGTAAGATGATGTGTAAAATAAAATTTTAAAATATATTTTAAAAGAAATGGCAGCAGAATACTTACAGAAGTACCATAAAATAGAACTGAGGGCCCTTTAAATCACCTGTGGTAGCACGGAAATGTATGGAGTTGACTCACAAACTTTAATTCAATTAACATCAAAGTGGGTGTCACTTGACTTAATTTGCTTCTCAAACATTGGTGTTCTGTTTCAGTGGGAGCTCCAGCAGCCAATCTAGTCCTGTCCCCTAGCGGCCCCTCCTGCCACACCCAGCCAGCCTGCTCAAAAGTGACACTTTTATCATACCTGAGTAATCTGGATCCTGAGAGGCAGTAGAATTCCCACTCGGGGCCATATTTACCTTCAAGTTGGCATTGACTTGGGCCTAGAAAGCAAAAGGCAGAGTATGTCCTAGAATCATTATGTAGTTGTTAGGATATTTTAGGTGACCACTTAGCTGAAAAGTCAAGCCATTTTCTTTAATTGATACACAGAGCTGAAATTTCTCTAGGTCACCATGGGATCTTCTTTTAAAAAGACTGAAATGGAAGGGATGGAGATTTAGCTCAGTGGTTCCAGCACCTGCTTTGAAAGCCCAGGGACCAGAGTTCGATCCCTGATACCAAAAAAAAAAAAAAAAAAAAAAAAAAAAAA